GGGGGGGAGGGGGGAGCAGGACATTGTCACATTAGAGAATCTAGAGATCTAAGAGCTAGAAGGTCAACATGAGGTTGTTACCACCATTTTGTGAACCCTGACTTGTCCTATGTCCATGTTTGGCTTCGTCCATGTCCAAAACAAAGCTGAAGATGGACATGGGACCAGTCCGGGTTCACAAAATGGTGGTAACTGGACCTTATAATGACCCTCTAGCTCTCAGATGTCTAGATTTTAGAATGTGACCATGTCCCCCCATCAGTCCTTATGGCCTTTGAAGAATCCACAGATGGTGGTAAAGCCTCTGTGAAAACCAAACTCATTCTTGGTAAGTCCCAATACTCTAACTGCTGTTAGAAAATGAAAGAAATGTAATAATTTTCAGTGTTATCTCCCTCCAGCATTTCGCCCTGAGCTCAGGCAGGAAAGAGGACAGCCTCCAACCGGAGACCCAGTGCAAAAGCAAGGCATGGAACTCAGCTACAGGGAAAGGATCAGCTGCAGGGAGACCACAGGCAATACTGGTGACTAGTCCTATACTCTCTGCTTAGCTTTTTGGGGCACAGCTTCCACATTACAGGTCCTCTATAATTTTGGCCAACTTTTTGAGTAAAAATACCTCATGGTTGAAACTTGGTTAAACTCCATGGACTTGTGTTTTAAGAATTCACTTACTAAAGCCAACTCAAACACTTCTCAAGAGTTTTTTTCCAGACCCAAAGGCAGAGCAAAGATTACGTGCCAAGTGGTATATAGTCCACAGAGGCCAATCAGAGGTCCTATCGAACTGATCTCACTCCAGCATTGTAAAATCCTTAAAGCCCAACTGGCCCAAACTTCTCTTTCATTTTGGATAGTCGGGGTTACAAATCTCAGGGTTTGTTTTGCCATCTGTGTCCCTTTTGGGCAGATGTCCCCTCACTTCCTGTCAGGGTAGGGAGTTATATAAAAGTTGTTCTAATGGGGACAACAACAAAAACTTTTAGCAGAGTGAGGAAGGGTTAGAATTTCTCACCAGGTTTGTCATGCTGTCAGTTTCTGTGCTTCCTTGTCCTCATGACCACCACAAACACCATTTTTGTATGGGTGTCACATGGGCAGGAGCTGAAGACAATTATCCCCAATGATGTTACATACAGAAATATAACCCTCATAGAGGCTTAAACTCCCCACCACTCTATCCAAAAAATTTGTCTGCAGTTGGGGTTTTTAGTCGGGACAACAGTTGGGGCCTCAATGCCATTGATACCCCTGCAACTCAGTTGCCACGCCATTTGTATACAATACATTTAAAAGTAGATTATTTTAACAACAATCCAAGTGATAGTTGCTGAAACCCTTTGTAGCCATTGTTTTTTACCATCACGTAGACCTGCCTTTAGTTTTTCGGTGGACAGAACCAGTCAACCTGTTGACATTTTGGAGCCTAAGCTGGGACCGTGAAGAAAACCATTCTAAAAGAGTAGATTGTGTCCACAATGTAAGCCACCAGGTTGATGTAAGTCAAGATGGTGACTCCAACTCCAGTATCCCATTCACAAACATAGCCAGCTGAACAATTTCTGCTTGAATAGCGATTGAAGAAATAGTAAGGCCATATGACCGCCACTGTGATGTACATGGCCACCGCCAAAATATTATAACCAATGAGGATCTTCTCAAAGTTTATGGGCAGTCTAGGCAAGAGACGTCCTATGGTTAGAATGATGATTATGGTGGTAACAATGAAGCAAATGGAGTAGACAGCCACACACCACTGCAGACCTGGGCTGAAGTTATATGATACAAGAAGAGAGAAGATAATGCAGGCAACGTAGGATTCAAAGACCTTCAGGAGGCCGGGGACGGTAGAGAGGAAGCCGCTGATCTCACCAGGTTTCGCCCGGGTAAGTCCCACTTCAATGGCATAGGCGAAGAAGCACAGGATGGACATGGCAGTGGCCGAACCCATACAGGCACAGGTATGTCCGCTGCAGCCACCCTTCAGATAGACAGATGGGTACATGATGGATGTGGTGAGGAGCATCAATGAAGCCAGCATGGAGAAGGCAGAGGTAAAGTCCTCCCAAGAGATGGGAACTTTATTGTAGAACCCTGTCAGCTCCAGGACAACAATCAGGATAGTCACCACAAAACACAAGATCCATGTAAGCATACTCCAGGCCCCGTATGGGCTGTGATACATTCCGACGCTGGCCACCAAGCTGAAGGCAGTGCAGGAGAGGAATATCTGGAAGAAACGGAGGGCCACCAAGGGCGTGAGCAAGTAGCGAAGATTCATCTTGGCGGAGGTGACGAGGAGGTGAAGATGTACGGAGGAGACCCGAATGAGGACAGCAGAGAGAATTCGATAATATGATTCTTGTCTAACACCCGACAATCTTATTCCAAGTATGCCGTATGGAACTGTCCGTACCTAAAAAACAGGAAATAAGCATGATATAGATGCTGGCATGTTATCAATCTCATATATATTAACGATAAAGATCAACTCAGCTTCAAACATTTTTTTGTTTGGATGCAATGAACTTGTAGAACTTCCTGTCAGAGTTGTATTACCCTTCATGTCTCTCCAAGTTTATCTCAGTTATTTTTAGCCAATCTTTGGTGCTGGTCAACCCCACTGGTCTCTGATGTGCAGATGATCACTCCAGCCCACAGCCTATACAAAGCTCTATATGAAAAATAATCATCTAAATATAGAACAGCAAGCGAGTAAAAATGTGAAAGCATGAGGAAGCTTTTCCGGGTAAAGGTTCCAATAGTACTTACAGGAAATACACTCTAGTCTTCCTTCATGCCAGTGGTGTGGCTTGGGGCACCATAGTGTCAACTACTAGATAATAGACAGACATACTGTGCAAGCAGGCTGTGTTCCCTGCACATGCTACTCAACCAGTGGTGGAACTACTGCTATAGCCATCCACGCGGTCACTATGGGCCCGGGGCAGAAGGGGGCCAGGTTAGAAGCAGGTGCAATGCCTGCTTGTCAAGTGCAAGTGATCTGGGCGACTGTACAGCCACCCAGATCACTTGTACTAGGCTGCGACTGTGCCACCCCCTCTGTCATGGTTTTGAGAATCCCTTCCCCTCTGGGGGGTCCGGGACCACAGCATAAAGGAGAGAGGGAGCAGAGTGAGAAAAGTCCGCTCCCCCAATCTTCTCTGTGATCAATGAAGCAGGAAGGGATGTGCTCTCAGCACTTCCTGCTTCAGAGCTGTCACAAGCCTGACTGAAGTGCTAGGTAAACAGACAATCAAGCACAACACTGTGCTTGATCGCCTGTATTGGAGGGCAGGACAGACATCAGAATCTATAGATTAATAATAGACCTCTGATGTCTCCATAAAGAGAACCTGTCACCTCCAAATGCTGTAGGATTTGCAGCATACAGTTTATAAAAAAATACTCAAATGCAAATGTACATACCTTAAAACGTTTTTGTAAGCAGTCAGGTGACCACAAGGTTATGGTGGGTGTGTACGCAGGGCTGGTAGGCAGTAACATTGACAGGGCCAACAACACCTTAGAGCTATAGATGTCGGTGGAGTGACGTCACTGCTCTAAGAATTTATAGACAGACACAATTCCTGAAGCTTTGCAGTTACGTGGCTGCCTCGAATAATATGTAAAAAATGATTTTTTTATTGAGATTTGTTAGCAGCTGTATACAGAAAATAAAAGAGCAGTGGCAAGGCAATTTTACCGGGTGTTTTTCAGTTGTGCAGAACAAGTCCCACCCACTACAGGCTGCCTGCAGAAAACTACATGAGGGGGCGGAGACAAGACCTGTCACCGTACACAAGGAGAAAGAGCAGCAGTGAACGGTCTTTATTACAGGAGGGGGCGGAGACAAGACCAGTCACCGTGTACAAGGAGAGAGAGAGCAGCAGCAGCCGATTTGAATTACAAGAGGGGGCGGAGACAAGACCAGTCACCGTGTACAAGGAGAGAGCAGCAGCGGACGATTTTAATTACAAGAGGGGGCGGAGACAAGACCAGTCACCCTGCACAAGGAGAGAGAGCAGCAGTGAGCGGTCTTTATTACAGGAAGCTCCATATCTCACACTGTATTTCTGCACAGATCTGGAAGAAATACATAAAGCTCACCGAGATTCAAGAAGAATACGTATGACTCTTGTATGAAGACAATGTTTGCTTATCCCATAGTTCAGCTTTAAATAGTCTATTTGAGAAGAAAGAAGAGATCTATATACCAGATCAAAAAAAGGGACAACTGAGGAGGAGGAAAGATGGACAGAGGGATTTGGTTCTTAAAGAGGGACTGTCCTAACCAATAAAGGAGAGTTGGGAGCTAAGCCCGTCTGTATCCCGAGCCTTCAGTTTCAGGTCGTGTTCATTCATCATTCTTTCAGAATCTTACACTCTGTGACTTTAGTTTACCGAAGGAGAAAATTCGGCAACTACTACAACACAGATAAGCCGGCTTGATTGCCCCACGTTTATCTATTGCTTTATTTGCCCAGTCAAAAGTCCAATAGCTTGTGCAAACAGGAAATTCCAGCGGCCGGTGTGTTCTAAAAAACAGCGACCGTAGACGTGGATGTTTAGGCAAATCTTCACCGGATCTGGCAAAAAAATAAATGTCCTCAGCAGCTTATAGACCTAATACATGAAGAAGGTGAACCAGGTTTACCCAACTGCGGTCGATAGCCAAACACATGGCTCCCCTTCTCCTCTCCCCAACATTTGATCACCCCTGCACCCATATAAAAATCAGTATACATACCTGCTTCCCCCTGTCCTTGGTCTGGTCATGTCTTCTTCACCCTCTTCTACTTTTTTGGCAGTGGGCACATAAGGCTTACTAGAACTAGGCAGGGGCTCTACCACTGGTGGATGGGGAGGGGGGGTTGGAGCTGGACAGAGTCAGGGAGTACAGGTTTGGCGTGAGGGCGATAAGCATGGGAGTCATTGGTGGTTTGGCGATAAGTGAAGTCTCTTTTGTGCCCTAGTAGGAAAATTAGGGGCTGTGCTACAGAAATGTAATATCTAGGTGGCTTCCCCTTTGGAGAAAAGCCATATCTTAATCTGGAGTGGGGCAGGTTAGCCAGTGGCATAACTATAGCCATAGCAGCCCAGACGGCTGCTAGGGGGCCCCACTAGGTTGTTGACGCAAATTAAACGTAGAACATGTGAAGATAATACAGTACTATATCAATAATGGTTGGAGTGGTTGCAGTTGACTGTAAAGACTACAGTGTAAAGATGTCTTCGGATTGCACAAGAGGAATGTTGGGATTTTGGCATTCTTACAGCTCAAAGGGAGGTCATCATTGAGGCCCCCATTACATTTATGCTATGGGGCCCCCGTGATCTGTAGTTACGGCCCTGAGGTTAGCTGCAAGTTTTACTAGAATAGGAAGTTCCTGTTGGTGGACAAGGGAGTCGAACCAATCATAGAAGATGTCATGATTTGGCCTATTGACTGTATTTATGCCACTTCCCATGCAGTAAGAAGAAGATAAGATAGATGCAGAGCGGGTTGCCTTATTTCTATGGAGTGGAGGGTAAGCCTATACCAGGGAAGCAAAGACATGAGCTCAGTCAGGAAATGGGTGGTGGCCTGGTGAAGGCAGGTTGGCCAACTTGGCAGAGGTGAGATAAGTCCCCAGTGAAGCCACACACCATATAATCTGTGACCTTGGTGTCTTTTGGGTCTGGATGTTCAGCAGAACCCCCAACAGACTAGGCCTGGAACCACTAGAAGTTGAGGGGCCCCTTGTAAGTAAGTGTATAAGTATTTTTTGACATAGCCCAAAGGTCATGAAGAGCGATGGTGCCCGGGTCCTGTAGCCTCCAATGCTGGAAGCAATACAGTAGGTCTTGAGGCTTAGAGGAGCCTCTGTCAGAGGGTGCTACAGGCAGAGCAGAAATTCTGTTTACACCAGTGTCCTGTGAATTGGGGATTTGCAAAGTCATGACACTCTGGGCTCAGGAAGTGGACTGAATGATGCTGGTCATTATTCAACCTCAAAGGCCCTGGTGCGTCCGCACCGCCTGCACCGGCGGTAGTTCCGCCACTGCTTGGAACCCAAACTGGAGTTGGCCTTCAATGCTTACAACTGGAGAAGAATGCACTCACCTACTCTAACACTCTGTACCACCCCACACCCTAGCTACCTGGAACACAGAGCATTGTACTTGGTATTATCAGGTATGAGGGAGGGTGTGACTCACCCTTCTTCCTCCTATGTGCCAACACTGGTGTTTGGCATATGGCCACTCCTACACCAGGGCTATCACAAGGGTGGGGAGAGTGTCCTTCGCAAGCTACAAGTTGCTTCTTCTGCACATTAACATGGAAGAATCGAGCAGCAGTGGAACAAGGGAACGTTAATGCCCAACCACCCAACCAAATGCACTACTTTTTTTTATGTTATAGGACAGCTGAGCTTAGTAGTAGTTCTACAAAACATTTTTTTAGAGATGTTTGTTTTAGGGATATAGAGTAACTGTGTGGAAGAAAATGAATAGAAAATATAACTATGGTTATTATTATTGCTGCTACAACTATAACTTTCAGGGCCGGATTTACTCTCTCTGCTGCCCCAAGGGGGGTTCCTCATCCACATGCAGCCATGGTGACACCCACATGCAGCCCTGATGTCCTGGTGAGACGCCGCACAGAGCCCTGGTGACACCCACATGTAGTCCTGGTGAGATGCCGCATAGAGCCCTGGTGACACCCACATGTAGTCCTGGTGAGACGCCGCACAGAGACCTGGTGACACCCACATGTAGTCCTGGTGAGACGCCGCACAGAGCCCTGGTGACACCCACATGCAGTCCTGGTGAGACGCCCCACAGAGCCCTGGTGACACCCACATGCAGTCCTGGTGAGACGCCCCACAGAGCCCTGGTGACACCCACATGCAGTCCTGGTGAGACGCCCCACAGAGCCCTGGTGACACCCACATGCAGTCCTGGTGAGACGCCCCACAGAGCCCTGGTGACACCCACATGCAGTCCTGGTGAGACGCCGCACAGAGCCCTGGTGACACCCACATGCAGTCCTGGTGAGACGCCGCACAGAGCCCTGGTGACACCCACATGCAGTCCTGGTGAGACGCCGCACAGAGCCCTGGTGACACCCACATGTAGTCCTGGTGAGACGCCGCACAGAGCCCTGGTGACACCCACATGCAGTCCTGGTGAGACGCCGCACAGAGCCCTGGTGACACCCACATGCAGTCCTGGTGAGACGCCGCACAGAGCCCTGGTGACACCCACATGCAGTCCTGGTGAGACGCCGCACAGAGCCCTGGTGACACCCACATGCAGCCCTGGTGAGACGCCGCACAGAGCCCTGGTGACACCCACATGCAGCCCTGGTGAGACGCCGCACAAAGCCCTGGTGACACCCACATGCAGCCCTTGTGAGA